AGCAAGTGTTTATTGAGTGCCTACTATGTGCATGGTACTATGAAAGATATTTTAGTTACACTGGTGAACAAGACAGACATGTTCCTGTCTCCATGGAGCATGGAAGCCAGACATTACACAAGCAGTTATAATAATGTTTAGAGAATGTTATAATTCAGAAAACAGGGTGCTTTGGAGGCACCCAACAGGGAGACCTAACCTGTTCTAAAAATTAGGAATAGCTTCCAAAGAAATAAATACGAGTGACATTTAAAACTATGCTTTGAAAATATTAAAATGTTGCTATGTTAGAGGACTAATATAAATACTTACGTAATGTTAAATGTTAACCTAAGGTATATTGGGCATTATCCTAGGTATTAGCAATAGGGAGTCACCAATCGGTTTGCGCTAAGTACACACACACACATACACATACACACATATACATACGTATAGAGAAAATGATATGGAACATATATATATGTATAGGAGGAGGGAGGAAAAAAAAATGTGTGTGTGTGTGTAGGTGTGTGTGCACGTACATGCATTGCCTCTGAAATTAGCTTTTTGCATCTGAATTATAGCCTCAGCACAATGTATCTGCAATCACAGTCCTGGAAAAGCTGGTATTTTTCTTCTAAGCTTGATATCTGCAATTTTCCTATCTGGTACTTAGGGTAGGTAAGAAGTCTAAGAGGCCGAGGGGCCAGACCCACAAAACAGAAGAACTTTCCAGGGAGAGTGCTGCAGGGAAGGGATGGTCCCCGGAAAGAGCAGGGATTCAGTTAAGGAAACAGGTGGGCGATTTTGGCAGAGAGCCCTAGAATGCAGAGAAGGGTGCTGCTGAAGAGGTGACATTCCCAAAGGCGTGATGGGAGTAAAAGCAGTAGAGAGAAGCACAGAGCAGCCAGGGGATGAGTGTGGGGGAGGCTGTGTGTGCAGAGGATAGAGATGTTACTCAGGCACAAGGACACTTAAGAATGTATGGTTGTAGGGTTGTTTGTTTTCATTACCAAATACAGATGATTTTGTAGTGAAATAAGCTAACAGCACTCTTCTGGGAGCATCTTGATGTTAAATTGCTCTAGGAAACTGCTCAAATATCTAACAGTCACATTTTCTACTTGTCATGGAAATATCTTTCCCTTCCTCCCATCTCACAAGAACACTTGACAGCTTCAAAAGGATATACTCTTGGATGAATGAATTTAAAAAAAGTTATTACTTCTTGAAACCTTGACTTTTTTTTATTAACCCAATTTACATAGGTTAAATTTCAGTGAAATTGTTTATAAAAGTGAAACTTTAAGAAAAGCTTTGACACTCTTGTGAGCTAGAACCACTGTCTAATACTTTCCTATCTCTAGTTAAATTCAATTTGAAAGTGTAAAGCATCTCACGTTATCTGCAAAGAACCTCACAAGCCAATGTTCACTAGACAGTTGGTCAGTCAGTGGCTCAAACCCTTACTAAGTGACCAGGCTGCCTAAAGCATTAGAAGAACAAAGCAATGAATAAGACAGGGTAAAGTTTTGAGCACTATAAACACACTATTTAGATGCCAATAAATAATATTTTAAAAAATTAGAAAAAGTGAATTTTTTGGGGGCATGGGAATCTTTCTTCCTTTTCTACATTCCCTGAGTAGAAAATTAAAGATAACAATAATTAATATTAATAATAAATGTGGGTAAAAGCAGAGTGCCCAAGAAGAATATGCGAGAAGTATATTCAATAAAATATGTTGAATGACAGGTTTTTGGAGTACAAAAATTTGGGCAGGGGCACTATACTTAAGGCAATTTAACATGTCACCATTTCTATGTCATTTTATTATCACAGCAGAAAATTTTAAAAATTCTTTCAGGTTGCACTAGCTAAAAATATCTGAGACTAATGTACAAAAATGATAAAAACGAAACTTCTCCATTTTTTTAACATAGCTATCCTTGCCCGGCTGGCATGGCTCAGTGGTTAAGTGTCGACCTATGAACCAGGTCATGTTCGATCCCTGGTCAGGGCAGGCTCAATTCCCAGTGTGGGGGCGTGCAGGAGGCAGCTGATCAATGATTCTCTCTCATCATTGATGTTTCTATCTCTATCTCCCTTGCTCCCTGAAATCAATATTAAAAAAACTAAACACTGTCCTTTAAAAACAAACAAATAAAAACCCCACATAGCTTATCCTTGCCTTGGCCAGTGTAGCTCGGTTGGAGCATCATCCCGTACACTGAAAGGTCATGTGTTCAATTCCCATCAGGGCACATACCCAGGTTGCAGGTTCAATCCCAGTTGGGATGTGTATGGGAGGTAACCGATAGATGTTTCTTTCTCTCCCTCTCATTTCCTCTCTTTCCAAAATCAATAAAAACATATTCTTGGGTGAGGGGTCATCTTTTTTTTTTTTTTTTTAAGTTTTCCCTTAAAGTTTATTTTAACCCTTTGAGTGCCAACCAATATCCTAGAAACTATGCTAAAATTGCCAAGGCATTTTTGCTGATTTTACAGCAGTTTAGGAAAAAAAATATGAATCGCAAGTAAATGAAGTTACATATTCAAAAACTTAAGGAAACCTTTACCACATTTGTTTTCTGCACTTAGGTGCCATCTGTCAATAAAGAGTGAACTACTAGCATCTAATAGTGACACTGCAGGAGGAGTGCGAAAGCGCTCCCGGCACTTTTGGCGAAATACAGGAGGAGTGCAATCGCGCTCCCAGGCACTTTAGGGGTTAATGCACTTTTATATGCATAAGCATTTCCTGATAAGGAGGGATGCACATTCATGATATGGATGCTCCTCTAATCCCTTGGGAAGCTTTGTTTATATTTCCCAGACTTGAGCAAAGACACAGTACTAGCGGTTCCAAGTAATTTCTATTAAAACTTTCTTATGTGACTTCTCTTGGCCAAAATTGAGATGCTTAGGGAATTTGGATCTTATAATTAGAATGACAATGTTACCAAATTTAGATATTCAAAAATCTATGAACAAATATATTTTCCTAAAATATAAAAAGATGTGGTTCACATTATGTTACTCCACACACTTATTAATACTTATATTTGATTGATAAAACATATTTTAAAAACAAACCAACAACCAAAAATTGTCTTTAGATCGGTATCTTTAAGGAGAGACTATCTCTCTCTGTTAAAAGAAACCCCAAATAAAACACAAGCAAATGAGCCAATAGATACTCTAAAGCCAAAGTAAACTGCAACATCAAAAAGCCTGCCAAAGTGTTGTTTTGGAACCTCAGGCAATTATTGAGGAGTGCCAGTGGTGTGCTGTTTAATTTCTTGGTTAAAGCAGGGTACTCTACAGCCTCCGCTGAGGCCAGGCTGCACCAGAGATAGGGCTTTTCCACAGGCAGGTATTTATGGTACCTCAGGATCACCAACCTATTCAATCGCAGCTTCTCCTTTTGGGAAGTGCTGATCAGTAAAAAGACACTTGGGTACTTTTTAATTCCGTCTGATTCAAAGAGGTAGTATATAAGGTGATAAGTTTATAGACTTTGCATCTTGGTTATTACAAAATTAATGACCTGAGACTATCAAGCTTCTGATGTGCTGTGGACTGCGTAGCCTCCTGTCCTCTACCTGAGCCAGGACAAGAAACCAGGTATTGGGAAAGTTTTAAATCAGACCCTATTTTCTGCTGCTATCCCAACTACTCCAAGCTAAGGACTTCCATCTCTAGCACCATCTTACAAGGAAAATTCACTGTGAACAGAAAAAAAGCCACACCACACAAACTACTTAAGAATCTTAACTACTTAAGTCATTTCCTTGTTTAAAATTGCATTAAAACACACACTCAACTTAGGAAAGTTTTTTTGTTGTCATAAAACACAAGTTCAATATTTAGATTCATTTCTAGAGTTGAATATTTTTTGGCTGACTTTTGATCCCTGGATACATTCAGCTATTTAAATGGTAGAAAATAGGGGATTAAGTGATAAATATTTACGTGTAAGATGATCTGTTAATTAAGTCAAATTACTTCGTTTTCCCTCCACCATTAGTTGAAATGGGCCATTTTATCAAGTGTCTGGCCCAGCCATGGGCAAACTACGGCCCACGGGCCGGATCCGGCCTGTTTGAAATGAATAAAACTAAAAAAAAAAAAAAACTGTACCCTTTTATGTAATGATGTTTACTTTGAATTTATATTAGTTCACACAAACACTCCATCCATGCTTTTGTTCTGGCCCTCCAGTCCAGTTTAAGAACCCACTGTGGCCCTTGAGTCAAAAAGTTTGCCCACCCCTGGTCTGGCCTGTGAAAATGATTTGGAAATTAAATATAAAACAGAAGAATGCTAATCCTTAATACAGAACATAAATTATTCAGCACAGAGGTTACACATCTGACACATTCATGTATATTTTCCTTCATCTTCTAAAATGGCAAGTCCAATGATAGTTGTCCATTTTACTACGGTCATTCCAGTTGCAATTTTTGGAGACAACAGAACTGTTTACAGAAAATACCTCCCCCTTTTTCCTCTTCATTTTTCTGATCTTCTATGCAGCTTCCTTGTCATAGGACATACAGTATATACATATTTACATTTTACAATAGTGGATGTTGTATCTGAAATATTAATTATCTAAAACAGAATTAAATGCCAATTCTAACCAAAAATGTCCTTATATTTGTTGCATCGCATTTGCAAGTGTTAGGAAGGAGCCCTGGTTGACAGAGTTAAGTTCCTTGGACAAGAAAGGTGTTTTATTTTGTTTTGTTTTTTCAATTTCACACAGTTAATTAAGTAAGCAATATTAACTGCAAATCCGCTTTAATTTTTTTTAAATAAAATAAATTGAAGTTCCCTTACAAACCAAATTAATGTAATATTTCTTTAGTAGTTAATATTTTCTAAGTAGCCATAGCATTTTATATAGAGAGTGAGCCCAGGTCTTTTGAAGGGAACTGGGATTTGGAAATGCAGATGGGAAGAAAGGATGAGGGGAGTATAAATTAGAATCTGGTATGCTATGTACTACTTACCTTCAAAAGTCAAATAAAACTTTCCTCTGTCAAACCAAACGAGGGAAGGCTGTTCATTCTCTGTATGGCCAGGAGTTGAAGCGGGATGGGAAAGGTTAAGGAGAGGGAGAGAGAAGGACACAGTATGAGTTACAGAGCAGGTCATTAATCTCACTATGGGGGAGGGCGGAGGCACTGCATGCCATTAGCGTGCAGGGAAAAGGGAAGGCTGGCAATCTATGGGTGTTTTTATTTTTTTTTCTTTTCTTTTTTAGTTCAGGAATCAGAAAGCAAAGCAAAGCTATGGAGGCCTAAAGGGATGGGCATGTGTTGTCGATAGCTTGACATTCGGTGCTTGTACGCATGGAGCGGAAGTCTTCCTGGCCATGCAGGGGAATCAGCATATTTTAACTGCACTAGTTTGGGCAAACTGTCTTTCAGCAATTGCTGTATCCATTTCATCTTCAATGTCATCCCCTTCTATGTTTTAAAAAAGATAAACTTGGAGTTATGGGTCACATAAACTTAGCTTAGGTTTTAAATGACAACAGCATTGCATATCAATTTAATGCTCCTGGAAGATGTCATATATCTTCCATCCCCTTCCCTGGAATCACCTTAGGCATCCAGACACAAAACACCCTTTACCTATGTACCAAAGAGAAAACAAGATTACTAACGGTGCGCTATAATTTTTTTAAATTAAAAAGCAGTCACTGGACATGTAATTCTGAGCAGTTAAATTATTCCTTCCTTTGTAAATTCACAAAGCAATAGCATCTCACCTTTTCCAGACCTGTTCGCTGAGAAACTGTCATGCAACCTGCTGCTTTTTAAAATATGTTCACTTAACAAATTCAATGGCATGAGTTCCACAATGAACAACAAACAGACAGGGTGCATCTGAGAGGCACTGGACACTCATGAGGTGAGTAGCATGTCCATGATGTTTATAGCATTCAGATGGCATAATGGCTTGGATTTTTAACGTCTAGATATCTAGACATCACTTGGCTAGCACCATACCTGCCGGGGTTTCACAGCGCCTTTCAAATGAGGGCAGTTTGTCATAAAAAACATCATCTTCTGACACTACGGACCAAAGAAATATAAAGGGATGGAAAACAAAAACACAAATACAAATCCCAAATGAAATCAGGGTCACACATTACTGACTGAAACACAGGAATGGTTTTAATGGAAAAAGAAAAAACAAAACCTAGGACACTGAGATTATGGTTAGGATACAAAAAAGCAATGTGCTTGTTTCATGATGATGCTATGAGAAGAAACTATAATTTAAAAAATGACAGGTTTTAGCATGTGAATTTGGCTGAACTCAGCTCCATAGAAGAAATCACACCCCCACCTTTTTAGGGAGTTGTTAAAGGTAGTATCATCAATAATTGACTTGTGCAAGTGTATTTCACTCAGACACAATTCTCAAGTGGCCAGACATATGTCCATCAACAGAACCTCGTCACAGCTCAACAGAATTACCCAGCATGCACTTCCCCCCATGGGGAAAGAGAAGCTTTTAACAAGACCATAAAAAAGCAGCAGTATAAATCTGAGGTCAGTGAATGAAGCATCCCATTTCACCTTCATCAATATCCAAATTCAATTTGCCTTGTACCTGTCTTTGGTAGTTGTGGACTGTTCATTTTGAACAGCATTACTGTAATTCCATCTTTGGCTATAGTGTGCAATTAAGGCCAAATGTCTGTAAATTTGTCTCAACAGTTGCTCTGGACTCCAAGTATTCCAGATCTTTGCCTATGGTCCCCCATTTCACCAACTAACAAATGCAGGTCAATTAGAGTATTATTCTATCTGATTAAAAAATAATACCCATAGATCTTAAGGATATTATTACAACTTCAATGGAAAATTGAGTAAAATTTGTACAAAGACCAGTAAGGGAGAATCCTTCTGACAATGTAGAGAAGATAAGGAAATGAATGAGGGTAGTAACACTATTCCATAAACAAGGTTTCTTGGAAAATATCCTACTAGCTTGCTTCCTAGACTTAGGGAGTAAGGCAGGGAAACCCTTTCTTTGTCAATTCCTAAGGTCCTAGGATATCACCTGTTAATCAGTTTTTATTATACATGTGGCTTTCTTGGAGGCTAGAACAAGTTAATGCAACTCCTGTAAAGTGTCTAAGAGAGGAACAGGACAAATGAAACTGACACTAAGGAGCACACTCCATAGTCACTAGAGAAAATAGGAAGCAAAACAGTCACATCGCAGTAACTGAATGTAAAAACAGTGCCTTTTCATACCCAGGAGTGGGAAATGACGGAGGATATTCCTTTCTTTTGAAGAACTGATTTCCTTTTTACAATCTTGTTAAAATGAGGAGCCTCCAATAGCCATTTGTTCTTTGAGCTGAAGTTACAAAATAATATTTCATAAGGGTTGATTAGCATGCTGATGCTTTTTTTAAATGGTGGTTGTAGACATTGAGGGCTTAGAATAAAACATCCTAAAAAAATCAGAGAACTCATAAAAGGAGTCATTGGATAACCCGTGCTTGGTTTAAATAAGGGCAACACTCAAATGAAATACTAAAGAAAACATTTCCTTAAGGACTAACCCTGGAGATAACCTCAACTTCATTTAGGATGGGGAAGCCAGTACTGGAAACAAGCTTTTTCAAAAAAATAGCAGAAGAAAAAAGAAAAAGTCTAAAATTAAAGATGGGGATTGTTAATTGAGATCAAGAATATCCACCTCCAAATGCCTATTTTTCTTTTTGTGCAGGATAACTGGCATTAATACAGGTATTTTTAAAAGAAATCCAATTCAGAAGTGGCCTCCACTTTGGAGAGACAAAGGCTTGGAGGAAATATTGTAAGTTTTAGATGCTATAATTAACACTTCGTATGTAGTACTGCATACGAAGTTCTACATCCACACCTAAGGAAGCATCAGCACGCTTCCTTTGTTGCCCATAAGTGATTATTTCTCTTTCACTCCAGATTCCTGGGATATTAAAGAGGCAGATACAAATGCATAATTAACAATGAAGGAATATAATGAACAGTACATTTAACAGTGAAGAAAAATTATCTTTACTCTGTTTTTTTTTGCACTGGGGTCTGAAATGAAGATTCTGCAAGCATCTAAAAACAGTGATTATCATCCACAGAAATAAAAATGGATATTTACAATTAGAGATAATTCCCTGTTTATTTCTACCGCAAATCTCTAGGAGTTTATTTCTTATAATAGAATAACTTTATATATTTTCTATATTCCCACAATATTAGATTTCTCCCAAAATCATAGAGTGAAAGTCCTGTGAGATTTTTCTGAGTACAAAAAGAGTTTACTGTATTGTCAGGTGTGACATCAGATTTACTGCTTTATAATATCGGATAGGGGCATATTCTTATATGAACTCTCATGTAGGAAGATTAAACCTGCTCCTAAAATTTTATTCCTTAAATTTCATTAAACTTTGATTATTGGTTCTCACCACACTTGGCCCAATTTTGGCTAAAGTGTGACAGGAAATGTCAAAAACTATTGTGGTGGTGGGAGAGGCTTCGGGGACTTTGCTGCTATAATACCTCCCTGGGCCATTTGACTTTATTAGGTTGACATTCCAAGACAGTCAAGAATAGCCAGTCCTTTGGTTCTGAACAGCCAAAGCATATCCCCTCCAAAAAGAGATAATCACCAAGACACAAGAAGCTACCGGGTGGCCAGTCACTTGACCATGTATTTACTTCAGTGAGAAGTGGCTGTCAGGTGACCCACAGCAGCAGGAAATAAAGGACAGGAGAGTGAGGAATGTAGTGGGAAGATGAAAATGAAATGAAAAACAGTAAAACCAAGCAGATTAACTCAGAGTGCTCCTCAGCAATGAAGCAATGTGACTATCCTCTCATGTGGCTTTTTTATGACCCCCTCTGTGGTTCACCCTGAAAGAGTGCATACTAGATGTGTTCAGAACTAAAGTCACTGGCCAGGATTTGAGATTTCGGCAGCAGGGAGTATAAAAACACATTGTAGGAAGCACAGACGCAGTTCAAATCTCCTGAGTACGCAATTTTATCTGGATCTCAGTGAGTTGAAAGAACACGTCAGACAGTCATCTGAGGTCACTTGAGGTTTGTTTTCTGAGTGACAGCTTATTTTCACTTTCCTCTTTGATCAACCAGGAACGTCACATGGAGTGGGAGGGACAGATGATCTTGAGAAAAACAAGCAAACAACAAAAAACTAGAGCAGGAGTGGGGAAAATGGCTGTAACAGTCAAGAGTACAATGAGAGTTCAAAAATAAGGTTGGGCTGTTATAGAAAAAAACAAACAAACCAAAAGTTAGAAAGAAATGAACTAATAGGCATATAAAAATAGGAAGCCCCAACGTGCCCCAATTAATGATGCAGATAAAGAATACAGTTGGCTATATATACCCATAGTGGTAAATATCTGCCTTGTTACGGCACCAAATGATATTGGACAACTGGCTATATTTTCACCAAATTTGAAGGATTCTTTTGGACTGGTCTATAGAGAGCATGTGCTACAGTTGAACTTCTCTTTGGGGCCCCTAAGAGGCACACCTTAACGTATTCCACTGGAAAAGTAGGGAGATTTTCCAGAAGAGCTTCAGGCTTTGATCAAGCTACTACTCACATGGGCAGCTCTGTAGCCGGTTCTTGGTAAGTAGCAGGGATTTATTTAGCTTTGGTTAATGATTCTCCCAAGCAATGCAGAGTGGTCAGCTGGCTTATAATAATGGGAGGCTTGGAGGGGGTTCTGACAATAAAGGAAGACAATGGGAAAACATGGAATGGGAAAGCCCCAGGTAAGAGACACCATGCAAACAGAAGATGCAGCAGGAGCCTACAGACGATGGTGAAGACCTTGAGAGGGAGACCAGCCTTGGGAAAAGGGAAGACGCTCCAGGCAATGTGAGGCATTTAAACCTGAGAAAACCATCCAGCTGAGCAGCCATTCTCAACTCTTCGCTTTCATCACACCATAAGGAAAGAGACTCAAAGGCATTTACTAAAAATGCCAGCAATGATTTATTTCTCAGGGAACATTGACCACGTATCACTGAAAAGCACTAGAAAAACATGTCAAAAACTTTGCTCAAGTTCCACAATGCCAATGTGTATACCATCTGTCAACATAAGAACAACCAAAACTGATGTAGAAATGAAAGCTTCAAGAAAATAAAAGTTCTAAATTTTGTGATTTCTGAGGTGGTGCACAGTTGGAATTTAAATTAACATTCCCCCCTCAAAGGAGATAATTTAGATCATAAGAAATAATATCTAAATTACAGGACCTTATGTGACAATTTCTTTCTTTCTTTTATGAATAGTTCTGTATGGAATAGCATAAGATAATCCCTGCATAACACAGGTGTTAATGTTCTTTTATTTATATGCCTAATTGCAGCACTTTGCCTCCTTTGCTGGGAAGGTAAAGAGTCAGATGATAGTAGCAAAACACACAGCAAAACAATTCTGACCAGAAACATAGGCCTCAGGGTTTCCAGGTCATAAATATAGCCAGTCAAAACCACCAATGGATTAAAAGAGAGGAGATAACGTTTACCAACTGTGGGAGTGGTGGCTGCACTCAGGGAATTGGTGGACGATATTGAAGAAGTGCTTTCAGCCCGTGCTAGGGGTGCTATTGGAGGAGGGCTGGAGGAATGGATGGGAGGACTAAAAGGTCTGGGCTGCAGAGAGAAGAAAAGAGATGGAAAATTAGATACATAGGTCATAGTGCTTCCCTTACATATTTTTCATGACTCCCAGTCCCAGCTATAACAACCCAGGTTCTTAAAAGTACAAGAGATACCATTTTTACACTGAAATTGATTATATCGACACTGGAGCTTGTAGATGGAGCTAGGGACCATAAACCACAAAGTGCTACACTCAATAGGTAAGTGAGACTTAGAGGAGCTGAGACCTGTGATGTGGTCAATGGTGTTTCAGGACTGTGAACTCACGTGCTCTCAGGGACTAAGCAGGTAATATAATCTGAGAGCACAAACCCATGGAAAGACATCTGAATACAAAATGCTGTAGTGTGCTAGCTAAACCAATTATGAACATCACCAGTTTATGGCTCCTGTGCATGGATTCCAAAGCAATTCACCTCCACTAGAAGTCTCTTTATTGTTCACACAGAATCTGTTCCACCCCTTAACCTAAAACACGATGTAAGAAACTTCTAGAATAAACTCATTGGGCCACCACTGCTTTATATCTACATAGAGTGCCACCCACCAATAACTTCTCTGCAGTCTAGAGACAGAAATCAGGACTTGCCCTCTCTTGGGGTCTTTGAAAAGCAAACATATATGGTGAAAAGAAACACCTCCCTTTCTAAAGATTTAGCACAACTGAGCATGACTGTCTTGATCTGCATCAAACCCACTGTAGCAAAACTGAGGGCCTAGCGTTCCTTTTCCTCCCATTGTAGACCTTGCCTTGAAGATGGTAGAGTTTGAGGATGCCTTTCAGATGCCACCTGTCAGGGCCATTTGTACAAGTGACCTGAGGCTTGGACCCGAAGCAGAGATGGCCCGTGGGAAGGTTTTTCACTCCTGTTTGCCATGCTCACCATAAGTTTCTGAGCAAGCCAGGGCAGAAGGGAACATACCACATCTCCGACTCCAGGTTTTCCTGGAGGTAGCTTTGGCCGAGATGGAGGCCGGGGAGGAGGTGGTGGTGGGGTGGTGCTGCTGCAAGGGACCAAGGGAGTAGCTGGCCGAGCAGGGGACGATGCACCTGAAAAACAAGCTGGTGTTAAAAGGGGATGGAAACAGGTGGCCAAAGTGCTGTCATCACTTAATCTCTCCTTCCCCATTCCCACAGTGCAATGCCAGTCCCAGACACTTTTTTTTTTCACTTCAGCCATTACTATATTCAACACTGTAGCAGGTGGTATTTTTTTTTAATACAGAAAAAAAAAATCACTCAGTTGAACTGTGGTTGATGGCAGAAGCTGAAGCTCATTGCCTTTTGTTGTCATGTGACACCCAGTGAAAGGTAAATCTTTTACTTAGTGACAGAAAATATATATTTTAAGACTCTTTTGGATCAGTGGAGGGTAGCTTTCATTTTGACCACATACCCACCAAAAGTATGATAAATTCTTTTGCTTTTTGCGTATTTGGCATTTAGTTATGTCCTAGATGCAAATGAAAGTTAGAACTTGAAGGAAAATGAATGATTTTTCCACATTATTTAAACATGTATAAGAGAATTACCCTGTTTACTATGCTTCAAGATATGAGTGCTAACTTTAGAAATGTAAGCAAACACTTGTTGGTGAGCAAAGGAAAAAATGTAGGAAGGTACATTAGCTGTTGCATGAGCATTCTGTGTTTAGAAGCTTGACAGAAACACATTGAATTGAAAGGATTTTCTGTTTTGAAGGAGGCTGCTTAGGAATCTGGTCCACATAGAGTTTGTCCACGATGATTTTGGGGATGATTTTTAAAAGAGCCTCTTGGATTTACTTTTCTGGCTGTCAATGACAAACATGTGAAACACAGACGACACACAGAGGCGGGCATGCACACCAATCAGCACACCAGCAGGGTTTCGGACTCAGGGGTCTGCCTCTCATCACACATGTGTCTGGGATTCCTGGGTAAACTGCTTGGCTAAAACCCTTAAGAAAGTCAAACCTATATTCCATATAGCTCTTGTTCAAAAATGTTGCAACTACTCCAGATGTCTTGTCACTTTGGTAAGCAGTACAGGTGTCAAATCATTACAAGAAAATTCTAAGAAATCCTGCCCCAGGAAAATACCCCTCCCCCTCCCCACCTCCTTCCAATAAGCCACAAAACTCTGCTCCCTGGAGAATCCCAGGCCAGCATCTCCCTCTCCAGATTTTCAGATTCTCAAACTCATCCTCTCAGCATCTGCTCTCATCTTAGGAGAGTCCCTGGGGGTCGACTTTGCTCCTCTTGTTTAAATGACTTGAAATCTTGAGCATGTTGTGTTTCTCTGTGCTGTTTATTCTAAGTAGAATTTCAGTAGTGGGAAACGCTACTAATAATTTTGATATCCCCATCCCTACACCCACCTCCTCTCTATCACTACCACTTTTTTACTATATTTACTTTTTATTTTATTGGGCCAGAATTTATGTTAGCCATTATCTTATTTTTGTTTCCACAGTAAGCGTTAGAGGAAGGTCTTGTTACTGTTTCAATGGAAAGTAAAGCTCAGAGATATTCAGTAACTTGCTGAAGCTCACACAGCTCAAATGATCTATTTAACTCCAAAACTCAAACTCAAATGCAATGTCTTGTAGATTTCGGCAAACTGTGGAGTTCAACATTTTGCATAAATTAGCCTGGTCCTATTTTTGCATGGGCAGCTTGCACATACATCTCTCAATATGAATATTAATAGTTTTTTGCTAATCTTCTCTTCAACAACAAAAAAAGAATTATGTTTTGACAAGTCTCACTACAAGGTTTTCTTTCAAGTTAATAGATTTTATGCCCAGGATGGTTGCAGAAAACAGAAGTAACAGCAAAGAGATGGGAAATGAGCTTTTAAACAGCTGGCTTTGTCAGGAAGTCCCCTGGGGCTTTTGGGGAGTTCTATTTTGCTGGAAAACCACGTACAGGAATGGTTCAAAATGTCTATTCATGGGTCTACTTCCAAGAAATAATGTTCTGAATCAATCTCAGAAAAGGTCAGCTCCTTGCCCTTTTCCTACATGTTCCAGAAGGGAAATTTCAAAGACTACTTTCAATAATGCTTGGGAAAATGTAAAGGGATTATCATCAAGGCATATAGAATACTGAAAAAACTGGATGAAAAGACAGATTATCCGAGTTGGCCCTGCCTGCCTCTTATCAACCAGGGAATCTTGACCTCTCTGAATCTCAGCTTCCTGTTTTAAAAAATGAGACATGCTTCTCCCTTATAAGGTAGTTGCAACAATCAAAATGGAAAATGCTTATGAAAGTGTTTGCTAAACTATAAAATGCTATGAAAATGGAAGGCAATAGTGATGATGATGGTAAAGATGTGTCTTTCGATAAAGACAGAACTAAAAGCAAGGAAAGAAGAGGCTATTAACTGGTTTTCTTTATGGACACTTTATTTAACTCACTTCTTTTCCCTCACTGGATTGACTTAATTAGTTTGTTACGAAGTTGGAGGACACTGAGGGAGTGTTTAAGAACCCAACCCTATTCGACAGAACCCTGAGGATCAGGAGAGGATATTCAGGGCCTGAGGGGGTATTTCACAACTAAACTAAGGCTCCCCATGCTTTTGTGAGATTACACGATTGTTAGTATTATAAGAGCTAGAGGTTATCATTTATACATGGCTATCACTCTCGGACCTTCAATTATACTTTCACTTCCCCTTCAAGCAGTGTTTATTCCCAAGAACCGTGCTGGAAAATAATAAGACAACATCTCCAGTTAAGGCTTAACTTTAAAAAAATCACATGTATATTATCTGAGTTTTTTGAGTTCAAAAATGTTGGCAGCCATTGACATACTCTCAACCCATTTGCTGCTCTCAACCTGAAGTTCCATCATAGCTTCTCTGGTAACCCCTGAAAACAACACAATTACAGCTTCAACTTTCATCTCTCTTTGTGTGTCTAGGTGGGTGGGTGAGTAAGGTGGCAGTGGGAGCACCGGGGGAGACATGGTAAATGGAATCCAATAGACCCCCAGGTCAGATCCTGGCTCTGCTACTTGTTAGCTTTGTGTCTATGGCCAAGTTCCATCTTTGAGCTTCTGTTTCCTTTCTGTAAAATGAGGCGAATGCACCACAATGCTGTGGGAAGAATCAAGTGAAATAAAGTATATTCATTTCAAAATATGTAAGGAACTAAACAGCCTTTTCCAATTGTGTTTCTTAGAACACAATTCCATCATGTATTTGAAGAAAGTATTAAATGTGTGTGGGAATGGTTACAAACTATGCTTCTTTTTCAGTGACCAGCACATTGTAAGTCCTAAAACAGCCCCGTCCCATGGAGCTTTCTGCAATGATGGAAAATGTTCTAGAATGAGTGCTGTCCGATTAGACAGACACTAGTCACATGTGCCCACTGAGCACTTGAATTGTGCCAACTTCATCTAAAGAACTATTTTTCATTTTAATTAATTATAATTGAGATTAAAATAGCCACATGTGGCTAGTGGCTTCCATATGGAACACTGCTGCTCTAGAGACTTGTAATTAGGAAATATATTTGATTAATTCAAACCCAGGTACCCCAAACTCATTTGCTTATGGATGTGTATGTGTATGTACCTGTGTCTAACATCTTTTAATATTGCTTCAGTATCTCAAGTTGGAGAATGTTGCACTGAAGAACATTCTATCTTTACTAACACCTCTCTTTCCCTGGCCTCCACATTTGCTGCAGGCCAATGAGACTCTTTCTCCTCCCCATCCCCTGGCACACAACCACACAGAATAGAGAGCCTTCGCCAAGAATCAGAGTTTGCATTCCAGTAAAGCCATGTTCAAGCCAAGCTGGGTATTTTTAACTTTTGCCACAAGGAAATTAAACATCTTGAAGTAAATCCTTAACTTCCAACTGTTTTTCAACAGCAGGTAACTCCTTTGATTTACAAAGCTGCCTTGTGAGAATTGCCTAAAATTGGTGGGTGACAGCTACCTTGCTTTGGATGAGATTTTTTTTAAAGTGAGCATAATGGTATTCAATGAAACAAAGCAAGACCTAAGTGTTATAAAGAGCAGGGAGTTAAAAGCATCGCTACTTTTTAAAACATGAGGTCATATCCTGTTGTTGTAATCCTAAATTCACATTTCTGCCAGTCTGTGTATATTCCATCAATAAAACCTTAAGCAGCAAATAAACTGGGACTTAATTAAAGAGATAATGGTGCAAAGTTTCATTTATTCATGAGTTTCACTGGTTCAGTTCAAGCTTCCACTTAGAAATTCAACCCTTTAATACCAGCAAAGTATAGTTGTTTTTTTCCAGCTCAACTATTAGGAATCAATAGATTTCACTGGCAGCATTTTCAAGTAATTAAAATAAGGGTATGGAAGCTAAACATTAAAAAAACAACAAAACTCCCAAAGGTTCCAGAAAGAAAGACAAAGCTCCCCTCTCCACTGATTATACCAGTGGTCAATTCAATTACACAGACATCTTCCAGAGCCTGTGGAAGGTGGTGGAGGAAACATGAAAAACAAAGCTTCCCTGTCTCTCCCCCGCCTCCCCCCTGACCCCCCCAAGAGCTTAGTGGCCTGCCCCTGGAGACAGGGCACTATTTCTTGAAAAGCCCTTTCAGAAGACTGGGAGCCTGGCCTAGGAAAGAGAGCCCCATGAAAGACAACAGAAATGTGCCCCTCTTTGACTACAGAAGACCAACTTCTCTGGGTTTTGGTCTAAACTGAAGGCTTTACAGAGAAGTTGGGAGCTTATATCCCAGAAGAGACCTAAAAAAGCAACAGAGGATGAAGGTGGATGCTCTAACCTTCTAGAATTATAGAGACGAGCACTGAGGGGTATGTTTTGAGAGAATATTGGTGATCTTATTGATACAGTGCAGTACAGGTGGGTGTCAGTTATCAAGTAAGTTTGGGATACTTCGTAACTAAACCTTAGAAGAGGGCCTGTAGACAACAGTGGTTACAAATACTAGTTATGGATTAGACAGACCCGAGTATGAATCCCAAGACTATCATCTCTAGCTGAGGAAACGGGAAAATTACTGGATACCTCTGAGCCTCAGTTTTCCCATCTGTAAAGTGAGGGAAATAAGAGTACCTACCACAGGGGGTTGTTGTGAGTATAAAATAACATGCACTTAGCATGGCGCCAGGACAAGAAATTACAGCTGTTGCTATTATTGGCAAAATAAAGGCTCTCAAAGGTCCTACGGTAAAAAAAATTTAACAAAATCTGATTTTGTTTTGACACATGCTTTTCAGACTTATGTGAGTATTAAATAGTTTTCATTTTTTACACTTACAGAGGAACTTGCACACACAGAGCAAGCACTAAAAAGTAATCCAATGGAAGAGCCAGCAATGAGGACTATTAGAATAGAGACAAATGTCTTAACTAACTTAAACTTGGTGTCCTCTTTCAAAGCAAATGAAAAACAAATAGCACATGGCACCCCAGGAAGGTGCCTAAACCAAACCCACAGGCATGGGAGGGTCTTGCCAGGCAAAGGTGTGCACCACTGGGATAAACAACATGGAAGAAGATGCAAAATATTGATCTTTCTTTGGTATGCATGGCAGGTTTTCCCATCTTTTCATAGTGAGAAATCACAAAATAAAGCTTCAAATAAGAAAAAAATAAAAACTCAGATTCAGTGTCAACATTTGCATATATTATTCTAAAACTTATGTTTCTGATGGCCTTTCCCATCACCTGTCACCACACTTAGAGTTGACAGGATAGGCTGATGAGCATGTCAAAATGAAACCAGAGACCCCTTTGTCTTTAGTGGTAGCTTGATGAGGTTGGGGATGTAGTGAGGTATCTTCTTTTTGCTGTCCCCTAAAATCTCATTTTCTAACTTTGTTTTTCTGAAATAAATTAGAGGGGCTAACATGGTTCTCCTCTCACACAGAAAGAGAGAAAAAGAGAAAAAAAAACCCCACATTGACTTACAAAAACTAGGGCTCTTGGGAAAAAGAAATTAACTTGATCTGGGGAATCCTTTTAAAATATATATATATATAATATCTCGAATCATCACGTTGTGTACTTTAAATAGCTTACAATCTTATTTGTCAATTATACCTCAATAAAGCTGAAAACAAAACAAACTAAAAATAAAACTAGGGCCGTTGTGGAGACATCTGACGAGGAAATCAGACATTTAACATAAAACTTACTGGTTATGAAATCTGTCTTTCTAGAACTTTTCTGAATTCCAAACAATGACATCATAGCTTTGCTTAAAAACATACACTCCCTAATTGCAGGGTGGGAGGCTGGGCAGAACACATCCACAGACTTGCACTATGACTGCGAGCATTCGATGGACTAGGACATGCCACGGGGCCACAGGACACCCGAACCAGAGGGATGACGGAAGCTCTATAGGCAACTGCCAGGAAGGAAGGTGTTGCTCAGTCTGCAGCAGCCATGGCCATTCCCAGTCACATGAAGCACACTCAAACAGTAAGACGTACCACTGGTGGTCCCCGTACCACTGCCCGAGCCAGGTCCGGGGGACGAAACCACAGTTCTGTAGGTGGGTGGTGGTGGGGGAGGCGGAGTTGCTCTCTGTCCCAACCCAAAATCTTTAGGAGATGAGATTGTTTCTAAGTAATCATCTTTAATGAAGCTCTGCTCAGCGACTTTCTTCTGGACTTCTTCTAAATTGAGCGGCGATGGTACATTTCGAGGAGGACCAGGGGGCCCTGGAGGGCCTGGGGGGCCTGGGGGGCCTGGAGGACTTGGGGAGCCCAGGACTGGGGAGTCATCTGGGTTGTCTGATGCAGCTGGTGGGGATGCCACCTTTTCCCTTGGAGTCAACTCTGGAGTAACACGTTCCGGGGACGTATCAGAAAAATGGACCCACTTTTCTTCAGCATTAACAGCAACAGACTTGGGGGACAGCACTGGGCCAAAAACGCTGTCCAGGTCATTGATTGACGGTAGTTTTTCAATTCTGACCTCTGTGGCTGACTGGTCATTTCCTGTGGTTAAAGTAGTTGATTTTAAATTTTAATTGAGTTTAATATTATTTGTCAGGAGGGTGGGAAGGGAGGGGTGAGGCCAAGCCTGGTAAGTAGGTTGCCTTTCTAGGTGCTTCACTGGGCATATTTCATGATGTAAAAGTATCTTGATTGAGCTGAAGGGGAGGGGAAAGTTCCCTGCCTCCAGAATGTGAGCGTCATCTTTCTTTGTGATTACCTACCCTTCCGCAGGGTGACCCCCGTTAGCTACTTCTACCATCATCGAAAGAGCTGAGAATGCTGTGCTCTCAAGGGCTGCTCCCAAGGGTGCAGAGTGCGATCATTCTGAGGAGGCAGTGCTAGAGTCACCAAAAATACGGGCTCGGGACTACAAAGGCCAAAAGGGCGGTCCCTTGTGAAAATCTGGCCTACTGAAATACATGTAATACAGTAAAAAAAAAAAAGATAGCTGAAAATCACCCTCATAATCAATGATCTACTCTAGCATATTGAATAAAAATGTTTGGTGAAACTAATTATAATATCTGTTAGTTAAAAAAAAAATAGCACATAATTAGCTGTATATCTTCCACCTTAAATATACCAGAAACACAGTACAAAGATTATTTAAAGGGCTATCTCCACATGTATATTATACACATATACATCCCACACACAACACACACATACGTTATTGAGAAGACAGTCACTGCTTATTAGAATTGTTACATACATATATACCTATTTCACAGGGAAGAAAATTATGAAAACATCTGTATAATTCCTTTTTTCATCAAATCTAATTGGTTAACGTCAAAGGCATGACTGTGATATCTATCTATCTATCTATCTATCTATCTATCTATCTATCTATCTATCAATCATCTATCTATCTGAAGTCCCAAGACAGAAAATTATGTTTTGATAAATATTAATATCAGCTATTCTTTTTCATTCTTATCAGTCATATGAGAAAAAAGTTCAAAACTACCTCCTAGATCTTGGCAGGAAAGATTTGATAACAATTGCAGTGTGAGGAAGTATACTTTTTTAAAAACTGAGGCTATTCAAATTAAAAATTGTTACCTAAATAATTGCAAGGCACGAGCAGAAGCAACCAGCTTAGTGCTTCCATATTTCACATTTGAAAGGAGTTCAAATTCAAGGTTCCAAGGCTACAGATAAATGAGGCAGCAGTTTGCATAGCCCACAATATTTATAATTTCAGGTAAATTTATTTATATGTAACATATTTATGAAGATACAAGGGGCCAAAATGCTTTGCACTTGCAAACGCCTTTCCTGATGACACTCTGGATGACTTCCTGTTGGGTTTGAGGCAATATAAATTTCATAAATGACTATGTTTTGCATTTGTTCTTGTTGATAAGTACCCAACTCTGTAGCTATCAAACCCACCAGGCTGCATAAATAGCAAAGGATGATCCATGAAGCTGCAATAGCATTTCCAAGGTGATAAAGAACACATTCTAAAGGCCCAGACACATAAAATAACTATTTCTGCTTTTGTCTTGCTAGCCCAATAAGATGAGGTAGATTATAAATTGAACATACAGCATTGATTTTAATAAAAGAACAAGGGTGCCTTAGAAATTATCTGTCTAAAGGCATGCAGCACTTGCTTATTCTATTTCATCATCTTTGCACATCTTTTTGCCATGGGAAGCTAGGTACTTTTATGATTACTAAGAAAAAAATTCCCCACTGCCGGAGCTTACCAGTATACTGCACATCCTGGAAACCATTTCATGTCTTTATAGACTAAACAGTTTTAATTCTGGCAAAAATGTTTTCCGTTCTTGGAAAATTAACAGTTGTGTCTTGAGACTATTAATTTGCATATCATGAAAATGAGATCCAATGTCAATTAAACAATGACTTTCGACATTGAGATTTTTTTCTTTCATTTTACAAGTAAATGCGACCCTCATTCAGCAATAATATACAGAGGAAAAATTAGTTGAGAAAGTGAATCTTTTTGTGAAACTTGCGAGTGATTCTTTAAAATAAGCCCGATTCGTGATAGATTGTAACAGAAGTAAAACTAAACGCAAACATTTTCATGGTTAGTCTAGTCTACAGCTTGCAACACATGATGGGTACATCAAGGCGCGGGGATACTGCTCTGATTGCCTCATCTTCCTGGAACAGAAAGACTAAAGCTTACCTGGTCCAACTGTGAGGGGGGAGCCTGTTCGGGGTGGGGTGGCTGGTACATTTTTTGGAGGCAGTGGAGGAGGTGCTGCCAAGAGATGAGATGCCAAGCATTATTGATTACTTTCTCCCTGAGTTATACAATATTCTGTAGCGAAGCAGGATTTAAGCTTTCATTCATATTCTTGCTCTCAGAAATGGAATAGCCATTAATGGTCTAAATATATTTTTAAAAATTCAAAGCTAAGGGATGATGCAGGACCCATTCAGATTCTTCCACTTTATGATAATAAAAATTTGCCAAAAGAAATCAGATAATAACCATAATATTATCATTTTAATAATTCATTACTTTATGATAAACCTCCTATATCTGTACTAGGAACTAGGTACATAGGGTTGAATAAAAGGAGCCTCTGCCTTCAAGGAATTTCTGACTTAATCATTAGGCATCAAGTTAACACAGTTACAATCCAGGGCGTGACCAAGGAAATGAGAACAGCTTGGGTGGGGACTCAGGTGAGAAGTTCTTAACATAGTCAGGATATTATATCCAGTCTTTGGAAATACTGGATCATGTGGCTTTATATGGATTAAGTCTGGAAAATTTTTCTAAGTTACATGTCGTAAATTTTAGTATATTTTTGAAAGTTTGAAGCAAAATGATTTGAATCAAAGAAGAATGAACATTTTACCTTGGTAAAACTTACAGAAAAAAATACCCTGAAGATAGAAAAGGTGTGTTATGGCCCCAATCCTTCTGAACTAGACTTGTCATTTTATAGGCAAAATTAGGAATTACTACTTCAAGAGTACTTTTGTTTTTATCCATTCTTTAAATGAATGTTTTCTTGTCATTGGCCATATTTGTTATATCCAAAGAGTTCATTCCACTAAGGTTCTAATCCTTTGAAAATACATCTCTGAAAGATTAAAAAGTGTTGTTGATTTTTTTTTTCCTGTTTTATAAAGGAAACTAGAGGCTCAGTGCACGGATTCGTGCACCAGAGGGGTCCCTCAGCCTGGCCTGTGCCTTCTCACAATCTGGGACCCCTGAGGGGATGTTGGACAGCCAGTTTTGGCCCAACATCCCCCGAGGAATATAGGAGTGTGCGAAACAGCAGGTGGCCTGGGAGGAGCCCAAGTCTGGGCCGGGCACCAGGTCACTCCCACACATACTGGCCCCTGCTATGCCTGCCACTGCTGCTGCTTGGTAGCACTGCCACCGAGGCTGGAAAGGCTCATGTCGCTGCAGCTGCTCTTGCCAGCTGTGAGCCTGGCTTCTGGCACCTATGGATCAGCTGAGCAGTGTTCCCACTATGGGAGCATACTGACCACTGGGGGGCAGTTCCTGCATTGAGCATCTGTCCCCTGGTGGTCAGTGAGCGTCATAGCTACCAGTCAAACAGTCGTTTGGTTGTTCAGTTGCTTAGGCTTTTATATATATAGACTAGAGGCCCGGTGCACAAAAATTTGTGCACTCGGGGGGAAGGGGGAGGCGTCCCTCATCCCGGCCTGTGCCCTCTCACAGTCTGGGACCCCTCAGGAGATAACGACCTGCTGGCTTAGGCCTGCTCCCGGGTGGCAGAGGGCAGGCCCAATCCCTAGGTGCAGCCCCTGGTCAGGCTCAGAGCAGGGCCAATTGGGGAGTTGGGGCGCCGCCCCCTGTCATGCACAGAGCAGGGCGGATTGGGAGGTTGCAATGCCACCCTCAGTCACGCTCAGGGTAGGGCCGATTGGGGGGTTGGGGCACCACCCCCTGTCACACTCAAGGCAGGGTCTATGGGGAGGTTGCAGTGCCACCCCGTCACACATAGAGCAGGGCCAATCCAGGGGTTGAGGTGCTGCCCCCTGTCACGCACAGAGCAGGGCCCATCAGGGGGGTTGGGGCTCCTTACCCTTTCATGCACAAAGAGGGTCGATCAGGGGGTTGGGGAGCTCCCCCTGTCACGCACAGAGCAGGGCCCATCATGGGGGTTGGGGAGCGACCCCCTGTCACGCACAGAGCAGGGCCGATCAGGGGGTTGAGGAGCTCCCCCATGTCACTCAGAGTAGGGCCAATAGGGGAGTTGGGGCTCTGTACCCTGTCATGCACAGAGCATGGCATATCAGGGGGTTGGGGTGCCGCCCTCTATCACCCACAGAGCAGGGCTGATCAGGGGGTTGGGGAGCCACCACTGTCACACTCAGGGCAGGGCTGATGGGGAGGTTATGGCTTTACCCCATCACACATAGAGCAGGGCCCGTGGGGGGTGGGGTTGGGGCGCTGCCCTCTATCACCCACAGAGCAGGGCCGATCAGGGGGTTGGGGAGCTCCCCTGTATCAGGCACAGAGCAGGGCTGATCAGGAGGTTGGGGCGCCTTCCCCTGTCACGAACAGAGCAGGGCGGATAGGGAGGTTGTGGCCCCGCCCCCTGTCACACACAGAGCCGCAGGGCAATCAGGGGGTTTGGGCACTGCCCCCTGTCACGCTAATCCCGGTGCTGGGAGGCCTCTCGGCTCCGCTGATCCCGGTGCTGGGAGGCATATTACCCTTTTACTATATAGGATAGAGGCCTGGTGCATGGGTGGGGCTGGCTGGTTTGCCCTGAAGGGTGTCCTGGATCAGTGTGGGGGTCCCCACTGGGGTGCCTGGCCAGCCTGGGTGAGGGGATGATGGCTGTTTGCAGCTGGTCACACACCCTTCAGGGTGGGGGTCCCCACTGGGGTGCCTGGCCAGTCTGGGTGAGGGGCTGAGGGCTGAAGCTCCCAACTGCTCCTTTTTTTTCTTTTTCTTTTTTTTTTTTTTTATTCTGGGCCAGCTTTAGCTCTGGCTCCAGCTCTGAGGCCTCTGCTGCTGAAAGCAGGTATCTGGTTTGTTTGGGTTCTATAATCGAAACAATGTATAACTCCAGCTCTGAGATCCCGGCTCACTGAAAGCAGGTTTCTGGGGTTTTGCTTAGCTTCTATATTTGTTACAATGTTTCAAGCTGCAGGCTCAGAGGCCGGCAAGGCAGGCGGGGAATGTTGGTTTCCTCCGTCACTGAAGCAAGCAAGCCTCATGTTAGTTTCAAGCTGCCTGGCTGGCGGCTGCCATCTTGGCTGGCAGTTAATTTGCATATCGCCCTGATTAGCCAATGGGAAGGGTAGCAGTCGTATGCTAATTACCATGTTTCTCTTTTATTAGATAGGATATTTTTGGAAAGATTGGATCACATGGCTTTATAGCAACATTTCCAACAAACAGCCTCTTGGGCCGTTGATTAGGAATCCCTTGGTTAATTCCTATGATTATTTTTAGGCATCAAAAAGCAGAGCCCTGGGGATGCTGAACTGGAAAAAGTATTAATTGGTCTCTATGCGAACCTCACAGCGTAAAAATACCCTCTGCATCCTCCCACCATCCCCAAACACCTTTCTCTGAGATCCAATCATTCTCCCATAGGATTTTTAAGGAGTGCTTTTCCCATGCACATCTGCTAAGATAAGTCCACTGAAATGAGAACTCAATAAATCCATCCGACAGGTGGCTTGACCTAATGAGCAATCCATTCAGCCCCAAAAGCCTAACCCATTGCAGGCAAAGGGCTCTAAAGATCTTCAGGACCTGGAGTGGGGGAGGGGCATGCTGGAATAATATGGGCTGATGGCCCTGCTTTGAGATAAATTTGCCCAGATCTCCTGTCTCGGCTTCTCTCTACCATATAGCATCATTTCCCTTGCTCTCCAATTGTCATTCTCTCCTCTCAATGTGGCCTTTCTATCCTATGCAGCCTCAGTTCTGTAGGACTATCAGAAACCACGCCTGACCTGGTGCTGTGTGATACCTCTGCGCTGTGTGATAGCCCAGGCCTGGAGCATGGTAGGTTCTTGGCTCACTTGCTTTTCACTCTTACATATGCACACTGAATGCATGAATGAATGAATAAGTGAGTCTGTGGAATATCAGAAGAGACTATGATCCAAAGTTACTTATTTTACTTTATTTATGTTATTCCTGACTTGACAACCTGCCTTGGCCCCTTTAACTCTAAAGCCTGTTAGAATAACATCTCTTCTGAATATTATATAGTCCAAATGTTGCTTACGTAGACTTTCTAAAAGTTGCCCAATTTCACTATGCAGACAGACAGTAAAATGAGTCACTTATTTTTCCAGACAGAGCAGGCACATAACTTACTTCCAGTGGGAAAAGGCCTTGTTAACTTTGGCGACTCCATGCTTGGATTAACTGGTTGGCCTGAACCCCATATCTCAGGCTGATCTAAAGGAACTGGAAACATAAAAAAAATTTTCCAGGGTGAGTTTACAAAAGAAATGCCTCTATATTTTAGAATTTAACATTTCAATTTAAAGTTGAGCTTCACAAAATTACTTCCCTCCTGGCTCAGAATTAGCAAATTAATCTAGGAACATGCTGCTCCTTGTTCTTTTCAAGCAGAAAATGGAAACAGGAGTGGGGGGTGTGTTTTTGTATGTGTACAGGAGAGTGTCTGTGTGTTTATCTACAGCTAAGTAAAAACTGCATTTTCTTTCTGGTTGATCACTCGAGGACATTCTGAATACACTGGCTCAGTTTCTGGTACCCATGTGAAAATCCAGCCATTAATCCCATGGAAAGTTGCTTTAAGTTGGTTTATTTAAAGTTTGCTAGAAATACCAGTATGTTTCAAAAACTAAAATGCCTGGGTTCTATACAGTGGTTTGTATCTTTAAAGGATCTTATAGGGTCTTTAAAGAAACCTTTCACAGCATCATAGAAAGAAATTAAATGATCAAAAAATGGTAAATACTTAAGAGAACCAGAAAAATAAACAAGTGCTTAGACATCTAAAATAAATCAGAGCAATTAGGTATTGAATCTAAGGACACTGAATCTAAGATTTCTTCTACTTGTTTTGTCTTCTCCTTTTGATTTTTTTATTGCTATGGTAACAATGTAAATAACCAGCTCTTTCCAGCACCTATCATGTACCAGGGGCAATATAAGTATTGATTGTAATTCATTATGTTATGAAACACAAGCTGGAAAGTTAGTTGAATATGAATTTAATGCAGCCTCCATACTTATTGTAGACCTTGGGCAAGTCATTTAAACTCTGAGCTTCCCTTCCTTTAGTATAGACATAAAAGCAATTTCAGAGATTTATTTAAAGGATTGAAGGAGAATATAAATATAATGTATACAAGATGTATATAGATCACTTACCACAAGGCCCATAGCTATTACTATATATATTTAATCCTCAAAATACCGCCATGTGAAAAAAAAATACCGCCATGTCGTTGCTATTAGTACCATTTTCAGTAGAGGAAACCAAAAATTAGAGTGATTATATAACTTGCCCAAGAGCATACATGGTGAACACAGAGGAGCTAAAATCTGATCCCAGGCATACATGCATGCCTGACTCCAAAATACATATACTTTCCCAGGCTTTTAAAACTAGTGATAGAAAAGTCAATCAAAAACAAGTGAGAGTGTGTATATATGACAGGTAAGTGTGGGTATTAGAAAAGCAAATGTGCTCGGTACAAATGTTGGAACGTCACGGAATTTCTGGGGCCAAAACCACCTAAAGAGCAATCAAGCCAGGCTCACTGACAAGTCCAGGCGTGCATCTCCTCTCCATCGTAAACCTCATACATGGTCTTAGCATAAAAGTAAACATTCTTTAAGGATGTAAAGCAGTATTTTCTTTGTATGGATTCAATGTTGAATACCACCTTGAATTTTAAGAACTGTTTTCTATTTTGTATACTAGGTTTTGATATAGTTATGAAATTCTTTTAATAGGTAGATTTAAATGACACAAATCCAATCCCACCTTCAGTCCCTACGTAATTATGTCCTTAAGAACAGATGATCACAGATAAGTTAATAAGAGACCTAAGTTGTAGACAAATCACTGAAAGAGTATTTAGGGATGCTTCTTATACATCTTCCTAACCAAATCCCTGAAAAATGTTCAGATGTGGCTGACTGCTAGCTGTCTTCCAGCATTCTCTCCATTTCTTCATAGTGAAAGAGTTTTAGCTGGTCCTGTGGCACTAAATGATCTATCATGGGCTCTGGTTAGAAGTGATGTATGTCTCTTCCAGATTTTGCTCTTACAAGAATTGGCAGTGAGGTCCTTTGGCCCTTCCCGACCTTACTCCCCTTCTTCTGGCTGGGAGATGACGGGAGCTGAAGCAGCCCTCTCAGACCCAGAGACAAACAGCAGAGCCAACCTACAGCCCTATGTTGTTTGAGACTGTTAACGTGAAAGGGAAATAAAATTCTATCTTGTTGAAGTCACGATATTTTGGCGCCTCTTTGTTACAGTAGCTTAGCCTGCCTATTATGGTTTTAAGTCTTGTCCTTAACCCTTAAATATAATTTCCCTCACTAATGGATCCTAGAAAAAATAATATTTTTTAATATATGTGGGATGGTGTTCTTAAATGATTTTTTATAAGAGCATTTTATATTACCAAACACAGCTACTGGAGATCTGATGATACATTAAGAATATGCTTCAAAACACATATATTTACTTTAAGTAAGTTAAAAAAAACACTACAGATATATACATTTTTCCTACCTTCTGTCTTCTGTTCATCAAAAGCTGATTCTAATGGTGGGCCAAAGAGGGGAGCTAAGGCCATAGTGTCATCTGGAGGTTTTTTGCTAAATCACACACATTAAAGCAAAACATAAAGGGGATATTAATGCTGAAAAACACATACACATTTTCACATATTTTTTACAGTAAGGCAGATGTACGTGTGCACTTGTGTCTGTATGTATGCATGTGTGTAAGTTCCCGTAGGTCTAGAAAGTATATGTAAGGATGTCAAATGTATTATGGACAAGGGAGTTGGTAGGAGATAAGATCCCTCAATGGGGGACCAAGGTACCCTTTCAAATAATTTGAAGGAGAGAACCTCTACCTAGAATAGATAAGTTTATTGTAAAGTACCTTACTCTTTTAAGATCCCCAAACCACCCCAGCTGGTTTGGCTCAGTGGATAGAGCCTTGGCCTGCGGACTGAAGGGTCCAGGATTCGATTCCCGTCAATGGCACATGCCTGGGTCACAGGCTTGATCCCCAGTATGGGGCGTGCAGGAGGCAGCCAATCAATTCTTTCTCATCATTGATGTTTCTATCTCTCTCTCTCCCTCTCCTTTCCTCTCTGAAATCAATAAAAATATATTAAAAAAACAATAAAATAAAATGTTCCCAAAGCACACAGCTCTAAATGTAGAATATAGGATTCTTCTAATTTGAAAAAGAAAAAAGAAAAAAAAGATCTCCACCCATTGGTATTTGTCTTCGCCACATCTCTATGTTATAGTTAATGCAGTTTATAATTAGTGAAAGTCAGGCCAGGGAGGCTAAGTGATAAGCCACCCAGGAAGTTTGTGTTTAAATAAGAAACTGGGCCTACCAGCTTCTAATTGCATCCATCCCTGCCTCCTACCCAATACACTAGTTACAACCTCTTAATACCTTAATTTAGCACATCTCAGAAAGAGAAAAAGAGTACTGAGAAATCAGGGAGGAAAAGAGAGTAATAAGTTAAACTCTCATCCTTTTTCCCAATGATTACTCAAACTCATTATTAACGAAAGGTTGCATAATCTTCTCCATTTCTTCCCTAGATTAATACTAATGAATTCTTTGTGTGGGTGGTGGGAGGTAAGAGGTGAAGGGGAGAAGGGAGGGGTTGGAGAAGAAGGGAAAATAAAAAGATTCATCTTTTAAATAGGAGTCTTTTTGGAAAACAATGTCCATTTGTATAATACTTGCTCAATCCAATAAATACACAGTATAAAATACAATGTTTTGCCCTAAACAAAACAGAAGATTCCTTTGGTGTGTGGCAGGTAAAATGTATCATGAAATTGTATCTGACTAAACAGGCTATTCTTCGTAGAAAAATATAAACATACTAGAGGCCTGGTGCACGAAATTCATACACTTGGGGGGGGGGGTCTCTCAGCCTGGCCTACGCCTTCTAGCAGTCTGGGAGCCCTCAGGGGATGTCTGACTGATGGCTTAAGCCCACTCCCTACTGGCTGAGCGGTGCCCTCCCTGTGGGAGTGCACTGACCACCAGAGGGCTGCTCCTGTATTGAGTATCTGCCCCCTGGTGGTCAGTGCACATTGACCAGTCATTCCAACATTCAATTAATTTGCATATTAGCCTTTTATTATATAGGATTTCAGCTTGGTATACAGATCCCAAAGGACCTCTTCATACAAATTTTCAACCTTGCTATTAGTGAGGGGACTGCACATTCTGATAGATAGTTACTGTAGGTGACTACAGAGTACTTTCCTAAAGGTGTCTCTCAGGCTGCACTTATGAGAAATGATAACATACATGAATCACACTATGAACTTACACACATGGGCAGGTCCTTTTGTAAAAGGAGCCGAGTTTAGTCCAAATGAGATAGGCTACACTGTTAACAGTGGTGTTGCCTCGCAGGAAACACAACCAGTGTCTTTCACACTTACCTCATGAGTTCTGGTGTCGGTGTGGAACGCCTGGGTCTGGCCACTTCTTCACCTGATACACAGGACAAAGGAATTTTTAGGCATATTTTTCTTGCCATTCCTTACTTATCTGTCTTCTGAGCTATGTTTGGAAACACTTAAAGAGTTAAGTCCCATCAATAAGCAACTCAACATGAAAGCTTTGAAAAACAAAGCCACAAACAAACCTTCTCCCCTGGCAATGCAACAGTCTTATATTAGGCATATGTAGTAGCATATTCTCTGGCATTTGTAAAAACCTAATTGACCAAGGAATTACCATGCTAAGCCATCAAATAGAAGGTTTGTATACTGCAGAGCTAGTGGAGTAGCATAACATTCTCTGAATGTCTGATGCCTTGATCAGGTCTGCTTCCCAATTATCATAAGAGAACATTAAGCCAGGCCGTATGTACATAGGACATGAATCTAGCATTCTCTGCCTGTTCTTTTCTTGAAATGCCAAGAAAATATTATACCTTTAACCAGGAACCATGAATTTAGAATTCCTTAGAATGTGTTGTATGCAGCAAAGGAAGATCATGCCCTATGTATATTACAACCTATTTCATGTCACCTTGGCTGACTAAAATTTTTATACCAAATAACACAAGAATGGGTAAGTCGTATTTATCTTCAGTTCCTTTTGCCCCCTCTCCACACCCTCATCACCAAGCACACACTTGATGAACTTCATTTCTAAAGTCAAATGATACAAGAGTTGAAAAATACAGGAAGAAAATAAGCAAATTTTTTCCCCAAAACATATTCATTTTCAGAATTTAAACATTAATCATTCAGAACCCACTAAGCCCCTTTATCATTGTATTTCTTTGCTGTAAAAGGTATTTGTAAGTCTTAAAAATCAAGCCCAAAAGTATATAAGTCAAATGTATATATGCTTCAAGATCCAAGGAACTTATTCCTTCTTTTAAACTGTACTCTATTTTTGGTAGCTAAGATATACTTACTGGATAAGTTCCTTTTAATTGCACCCTAGAATTAGAAATAGACACTATAAGGTTTAAGACCACATATATGCTATGTACAATATGTATATTTCTGTTATTGCAATTAATCTGAACTCAAAGAAATCGATGGGGAAAAATGGAAATTTTCTCAGAATCACATTCAAGTTGGAAATTGTAGACACATTCATATAAATCAGTTTTCATTTTACTTAGGATTATAGAGAGAAAGGAAGGGTAAATTATAAGTCTCCCAAACCAGAAAAATCCCTTACCTGGGTAGATCTGGTAAATATTAAAGTAAATATAAAGTAAAAATTAAATATGAAATAGTCTATTAAAAAACAACCCTGAAGTCTAGTAGACAAGAAAGTAAGTCCAAGTTTAAGTTACATTTAATGTTTGAAAATCATAGACTATATTAGGAGTACTGTCAGCTCTTATCACATGGGGGCCATAAACTAGTTGAAACAGTCATTAGTTTACTAATGCGGTTTTTAATGGATGTAAGTGACAAATGTTATAGAGAAGGAAACCTTCGAAGCATTGCCATTGAATGGGCTGTTCTATGCAGAGAGTCAGGGAATTCCATCCTCCCCACTAGGTTGCCCCACCCCAATTTCTTCTACTTGTCTGCTACCTGGCCCACCAATCTACCATTGGGGGGTCATTCCTTTAGTTCAAGGCATGTGATACTACTGGAATACAAACAGGCCTGACAGGAATACTAGTAATAGGACCTACCAGAAACTTATTTTGATAACAGAAGGATTGATTAGATACAAAGGTTTGATTCAAAACCACTATGAAAGGTTCTTAGCATGAGGTGCTTCCAGAAAAACAGACCACTGAAGGGAGGCACTGTGGGTGGGGCGTGGCTTGGCAGGGCTGCTTGAGGAGAATGATGGGGCCGACAGAGCTGCATAAGAAGAGTGAAAGGATAGGAAAGTATTTCAAAGGGTATGACCATTAATTTGGTGGGTGGTCAACGAAGAGTTTTTCTACTTCCCTACATTGGTGAACTCTCAACCTAGTGGTAATATGTATTTTCTTGTCTCAAATGATAACATCAATAACTCAGGATAAGATATAGCACTATATGAAGCTTCTTCCCCTATTTTGTAAAGATTTTTCAGAATTGGGGTTTGTCTTATTTTCAACTCATTTATGATAGAAGAGCAGTTTCCATCTGAACAGGATCCAATACATGTTTTGTTGTGGGTGGCCCAATCTCTCAAACTAGTTTCTGTCTTGTCCTGACTAATAACACAATCTGTGTGTGTGTGATATAGAGAATTATTATTTTGTTAATAATAACTTTATTTTTTTAAATATTTACAGAGAGGAAGGGAGAGAGATAGAGTTAGAAATATCGATGAGAGAGAAACATCGATTAGCTGCCTCCTGCACATCTCCTACTGGGGATATGCCCGCAACCCAGGTACATGCCCTTGACCAGAATCAAACCCGGGACCTTTCAGTCCGCAGGCCAACGCTCTATCCACTGAGCCAAACCGGTTTCGGCAGTAATAACTTTAAAAACAAATATTTTATGTTTAAAAATATTAATTTGTTTAAATAAATCTAATTAAATACAATTATTTATTTTAATAAATGAATATATTTTATTAAATTAATATACCTATTTAAATTTATAAATAAACATTTAAATACATGTGGATATTTAAATCAGCTATAGTCATTATGGGAGTTTGGATATCGATTGGCTTTTGGAAAATAAGACTGTATTGACAAAAATAACAAGAGAACAAATTGTTTAAATTAAAATGTTTTCCTAGGTTATGAAGCCTCAGCTGGTCCTATTTTTATTAATAAGGTCTGAAGGAAGAGACCCAAAGGCTCTAAGTTCTAGAGACTCTAAGTTCTAGGGAATGGTTCCCCTCAAGTATTGTGAGACCTGAAATCCAGGAATTGGGAGGCCCTAAGGCTGTACTGAAGACCTTTCAGTCCCCTTTACCCTTTTAATAAAAAATGTAATACTTATGAAAACAAGAAAGGTTCAACGCCTCTTCTGTAGTCACCGATTCCTGGTGTATCAATTCATTCAACAGATATTTACTGTTGGGAGACCCCGAACAAGAAGTCCCTGTAACATTTTTATTAAAAACTCCACATGAATAAACAATTGCCCATTAAATGCAGGCAAGACATGGTAGAAATATGCAAGAAAACGCTTGTTTAGAAATTTGGAAAGATAAAAATAAGATCAATTTAGAAAGGAACAGATATTTGAACAGCAAGTGAACAGCAACAGAAAAGAAAGTCCCATTGTCAGCTGGATGTGGCATACAGATTTTGATGGCCTTGATGTTGCAGCATGATAAATCCACAGCTGGGTTACAGTGATGTTGACCACACAAACCACATTCAGGAAGAAAGCCCATTGAATTAAAAAGCGCACCAAATGACCACATTTTCAATGACTGCCCTTAAATGTAGATTGTGAATGAATTTCCTTCATTTTGAATTAGTTCACTTTTTTTCTTTAAAGAAAAAGAGTAACTTCTCACAATCTGAGATGCCACCTGAGATCATCCATACTTGCAGGTGTTGCTTTCTTTGATACTCAGCCAAGTGGCTTAACCAACCAACCACCAGTTTCTCAACTGGGGCACAGTATTTGCCTTAAATAATAACTGATTAATTGAACTGGCACAGACCTAGGGATATTTTAGATGGCATTGTTTTCAATTCCATTTCCCCTCTGGCCAGATAGAAGCAGGTATTTCAAACATAGCAAAGACCCTTTTTTTTGTTGCTTTGAATACATCACTCTTCAACCTGAGGAAAATGACTGAGATTTTACTTTGAACAATGTAAACTGATTTTTGTCTTCAGTGATGGCATATAGAATTATGTGACAGCCTAGACCAGGGGTGGGCAAACTTTTTGACTCGAGGGCCACAATGGGTTCTTAAACTGGACTGGAGGGCCGGAACAAAAGCATGGATGGAGTGTTTGTGTGAACTAATATAAATTCAAAGTAAACATCATTACATAAAAGGGTACGGTCTTTTTTTTTTTTTTTAGTTTTATTCATTTCAAACGGGCTGGATCCGGCCCGCGGGCCATAGTTTGCCCACGGCTGGCCTAGACATATCGACTTGAAAGCATGTCTCCTCCTCTAAGATGGAAACTGTGATTATGCATTACTATGTATCAGTGTACACTGGCCAGTGCAACTTATTATAAATTCAGTCTTAAAAACCACGTGTCTTAAAAATGGTTTCCTTACTTCCTTAAAGTTTTCTTATTCTTCAAACTTATACACTTCTTATAAACTTCTATGATGCTTTCTGGCCAATCTCCAGGTCTTGCTCGTGTGCGCATGCATGTGGACGCGCGCGCACACACACGCGCACACACACACACACACACACACACACACACACACCACATTAGGAGTTGGGATACCTATGTATTAATTTAGTTTAATGTATTAATGGAGAAGTGCTCTTATAATCCTAAAGTATGTTATTGACACTTTCAGGACCAGACACTTCCAACCAGTAAACTGAATTCATCTGCCTCATTCATACTGGGCTGTCATAAATTTGATGAGAAGTCAACCTGGCCATCTGGCCTTGGCAGCAATTTTCTTTATACATGTTTAAGATAAAAATGTTGAAAGTTCTTACCGGGCTGCGCCTCTGTGATCAGCAAAAAGGAAGAGAGAACAGATACCTAGTCAGAGAATGATGGATCAGTCAACAGGCTTGGGTAATAGAAGGCTTCATAAATAGCTAACGAAACATGCACTCCAAGTAATCAGGCCAAAGGAAGACAGGCAGTCGTGGTGTTTGTGGCTCATTTAAAACATAAGAAAGTTTAGGAGAACTCTAAAGAGAATCTGTCCGTTGTATAATATAGCTTTGCTCATAGGGATGTACTACTTTCAAGTTACAGGTACACAAGAACAAGGTGGAACATGTAAGACATTTTGTTAAGTTGGCATGGGAAGTTTTTCTCCAGATTATTTGGGGAGAGGGGTTTTAGAGAATAGGTAGTACAGGGAAAGCTGATTCCCCACACAACAGGGTGTTAACAAGCATTATAGGCAATGCATTTCCCACATAATTAGGGCATGAATTGGAGACTCCAAAAATCAGAGACCAGGATTAGAGACATCTCTTCTTAGCCTGGTTCTTTTCTTAGTGTTCTGTGGAACGTATGCCAATGAGGACCTTATTTTGCAAGTAGCCATTCTTGGCCTAGTGGTTTGGGCAGCCTCGATTAATGAGTAGGAATGTGATGGAAAAGATGAGGCACCCCTGCCAAGCACAGATGGGAAAATGAAATTGTTCAGCACCAATAAAACACTGGTAGACCAGTTGATGTCCAGAAAACACAACAAGCAGACATACTATTTCTCTCTTTCATTCCTCAGACTTTGACTATTGCTATCAATCTACCTCAACAATCTTTGATAGTGCCCCCTCTTTAAAATTTTTCTGTAGTAACAAAGATGACTCTGAGGTGAGTGAGGAAAGAGATGATGCTCAGAGTTTCACTTTCAGGATATGGGTTAACCCATGAATTTACCAGAGGCCACCTGGGACCCCATATTGGCCAAATCTCCAAATGTGGGCCAGGAGCACAAATATAAAAGTAACTAAGAAGGTTGTTCAAATGAATAGGATGGTTCTAATCTCCAGAACACATACAGAAAATAAAAACCTATAATCTTTTAAATGTGGGAGGCCTCCCTGGCTATCTAGTCCAGCTGCCTTTATGATATAAAGAAAGTGAGGCTGAGACACACAGCTAGCAAATGGGTAGAATCAGAGACAGAATTTCAGTCTATAAACTCTTCATTATCATGCTCTTTCTAGGACACCAAGTGTGACATTGTTGGAGAACTCCTAAAAAGCAAAGAGCCCTTGTGGCTAATGTCCAGGAATGATTACTTCTCAGATGAGTTTTTTAAATAGCCAGTTTAGATATATTTACTCTAGACAATTTCACTTGTAAGAGTTTAGACTTTATTTTTTGCCTTACTTTCCAGGTACTGCTCCATGTTGATTCCATCTCTCTTTTAAATCTATCTAAGGGCACGGATGAAATTTAAATAAAATTAGAAAAAAGGACACTTATGAATAAGCATTTCTGGGCTTAAATTCTTTTACTAATTCATACTATGTTTTGAGAGAAGTTCAAATACTATTTTATATAAAGATTTAGGCTTTATAATTCTTTTTTTAAAAAATATACTTTTTATTGATTTCAGAGAGGAAGGAAGAGGGAGAGAGATAGAAACATCTATGATGAGAGAGAATCATTGATCAGGTGCCTCCTGCACACCCCCCTCAGGGGATTGAGCCTACAACCCAGGCACGTGCCCTTGACCGCAACGCGTCAGTCCGCAGGCTGACACTCTATCCATTGAGCCAAGCCGCCTAGCAGTGGTCGGCAAACTGTGGCTCGGCAAACCGCGGCTCGCGAGCCACATTCGGCTCTTTGGCCCCCTGAGTGTGGCTCTTCCACAAAATACCGGCTCTTCAATGAAATACCGACTTCTGCGCGTGGGCCACGAAGTTTCAATCGCACTGTATATGCTCGCCTGCATGTGGTATTTTGTGGAAGAGCCACACTCAAGGGGCCAAAGAGCTGCATGTGGCTCGCGAGCCGTGGTTTGCCGACCATGGGCCTAGGGCAGTGATGGCGAACCTATGACTCGCGTGTCAGAGGTGACACACAAACTCATTTTTTTGGTTGATTTTTCTTTGTTAAATGGCATTTGAATATATGAAATAAATATCAAAAATATGTCTTTGTTTTACTATGGTTGCAAATATCAAAAAATTTCTATATGTGACACGGCACCAGAGTTAAGTTAGGGTTTTTCAAAATGCTGACATGCCAAGCTCAAAATGTTCGCCATCACTGGCCTAGGGCATGCTTTATAATTATTTAACGACCAGATTAACAATCTTCTCGAAAGATGTGGGAATTTATGATTTCAGTTTCAATTTCATGGCAAAAAACTCATTCTTTTGTTTTGCTAATACTCATCCAAGGATATTATTTTTCCATTGACTTTTAGAGAGAGTGGAAGGGAGGGAGTGGGAGAGAGAGATGGAGAGAGAGAGAGATTGATGTGAGAGAGACACATCAATTGGTTGCCTCTCACAGGTACTCTACCAGGGCAGGGATCAAACCTGCAGTCCAGGTACATGCTCTTGACTGGGAATCGAACCCAAGACCCTTCAGTGCATAGGCTGATGCTCTAACCACTTAGTCACACCAGCCAGGGCAACGATTCATTCTTAAAAGTAATATAAAATACAGCAAAGGGGGAATTAAAAATGACACAAGTTCCCCCAAGATAAAATTATGAGAAATAATGCAAAATAAAATGCAGATTTTAGACATCCAGAAGCAAAAACTTAAATCCAACAAATTTTAGTGATATAAGATTATAGAGAACAATACTTTTCTAAATAATTTCAGCATGTTAATCCACCGAAAGTAAACCATATTTTAATTTCCAGTGAGTTAAAAACCTAACTTTTAATCAATTGTTCCTGTATTTTTTTCTAGTAAAAGACACCTCATAAGACAGCATTTTGGAAACTATTTGCAAAATGCCTTCATCAAGGAACAGCTGTTCAAATTCATATAGTCACTAGTTCATTAACCAGAATCCAGAAGACCCTGTAGAAGCTTTGGAAAGGTCAGACCCAGAAAGCCTCAGGTTCATAATTAAGAGCTATCTGAAACCTTCAAAGGAAAAAAAAACACATGCCAGAAGTCAAATTGAAGGGCTTTATATATGTTAACTAGAGGCCCAGTGCACAAAAAAATTCGTGCACTTGGGGGCGTCCCTCAGCCCAGCCTGCGCCCTCTTGCAGTCTGGGACTCCTCGGGGGATGTCCATCTGCTGGCTTAGGCCCCCTCCCTGGGGGATTGGGCCTAAGCTGACAGTCAGACATCCCTCTGGCAGCCCGGGAGCCCTCGGGGGATGTCTGCCTGCCAGTTTAGGCCTGCTTCCCGGGGGATTGAGCCTAAGCTGGCAGTCAGATATTCCTCCAGCAGCCTGGGAGCCCTTGGGGGATGTCTGACTGATGGCTTAGGCCCACTCCCCAGAGGAAGCAGGCCTAAACCCCAGTCTGACATCCTTAGTGCTGTTGAGGAGGTAGGAGAGGCACCCACCATCTCTGCTGTATTCGCAGTCATCAGCCTGGCTTGTGGCTGAGTGGAGCTCCCCCTGTGGGAGTGCACTGACCACCAGGGGGCAGCTCCTGCATTGAGCCTCTGCCCCCTGGTGATAAGTGTGCATCATAGTGACTGGTCGTTCTGCTGTTAGGTTCAATTTGCATATTACCCTTTTATTATATAGGATTATCATCATTAAGGAACTGTAGGCACTGCTGAAGGACATGGACAGTCAAATCATTATCAGCCAAGTGGGGAGGGTCTTTGCTTATTAAAAGTTTTATTTTACTGTTTCTTCTGTCATTTCCCATGGCCTTTAAGCCTTTAGTATTCTTTGTTCTACCAATAAATTTGCTTCAAGGGTGGAAGGAAAATCATTCAGTATCTGGGCTTATATTCTACTAGAGGCCCAGTACACAAAATTTGTGAATGGTAGGGGGGCCCTCAGCCTGGCCTGCACCCTCTCGCAATCCGGGACCCCTTGGGGGATATCCTAAGAGGCAGTCAGACATCCCTCTTGCAATCCGGGACTGCTGGCTCCTAACTGCTGGCCTGCCTGCCTGCCTGATCGCCCCTAACTGCTTGCCTGCCTGCCTGATTGCCCCTAACCACCTCTGCTTGCTTAACTAATCACTTCTAACTATTCGTCTGCCTGCCTCATCGCCCCTAACCACTTCTGCCTGCCTGCCTCATCGCCCCTAACCACTCGCCTGCCTGCCTAATCACTCCTAACTGCCTGGACCCCGCAGCCGTGGCTTTATCCGGAAGGACGTCCAAAAGGTCATTCTGCTGTCTGGTCTAAATAGCATAGTACACCTTTATTAATATAGATGAGCTGAACACTCTAAGTATAGTGTTGAAAACTCAAATGTGTTCAGGGCAAAGAGCTGGGGTATTGTGTGTAAGGGCATGTATGTTACACAAAGTTTTGGTTAAATGCCCACTACTCAGGTACACTCGTGCCTGCTGTTCCCGAATGTGGGCCTAGTACTGCCAGATCTTCAGAGTTGTTGAATGAAAATGCACAATCTAAATTATTTTTAAAAATTCAAATGTTCTAATTTTTAAATGCAGACTAAAATTGTTTTTAACTGCACTATATAACAGAACACTTATCCAGTGCTCAGAAGCTGCAGGTGGCCAATTGTCTCTGATTGTATGCATTTGTATCACAGAAAACAAGCTCTCGGTAAATTTCATCTGCTGTTTTTATAATTTCAACTGATTACTCAAACAGGGACTTTGCAATTGGCCTATTTATTTTTCTGAACAAATTTCTTGCATTCCTAATTAAACATTAATTGTTCAATTCGAGATTTATCTAGATCTGTTGATAATTTTGGAGGCTTTGAAAAACATTTTATTTTCCCCTCTACTTTTATTTTGATGTTCACTCCAGAGATAGCTAACTCTGTATTTTGAGGCTGCTTTCAAAGTGGGTAAATACTACTAAGTTATGATTTGATCTCTAGAATAAGGCTACTTGGTTGTATTTATACATGTTACATTTGTAAAATATATATGATTTGCAACATGTATATGATTCCCTACAAAATATACTTGAGTCTATGTCCTTGCAGTCCCCAGTGTCCTTACTCCACACAAGGTTGTTTTTTCTTTTGCACAAAATAATATAAATTATGTTAATTGGGATGGCTTAGTCTCAGCCAAAGTAAAAAAAAGTAACCAAACATAATGTCTTGCTTATCCAAAGCACTAAATAACTAGCCTCAGGTTTCAAAGCTTATGACATTTTATGACATCCTCATTTGCTAAATTCAGTACCATGGGGAAACAGAAAAATGCGTGAAAAGCTATAAAGCACCAAACACATATTATTTTTATATAATATAGTCATAGCAAATTCAGTGATCCAGTTAGAGAATTTCCTAGGAAAGAATTGGTATATATGATTATTATGTTACTAGAGGCCCGGTGCACAAAAATTTGTGCACTGGGGTGGGGGGGCGGGTACCTCAGCCTGGCCTGTGCCCTCTTGCAGTCTGGGACCCCTCGGGGGATGACCACCTGCTGGCTTAGGCCTGCTCCCCAGGGGATTGGCCTAAGATGGCAATCAGACATCCCTCTGGCAGCCCGGCAGCCCTCGGGGGATGTCCACTTGCCAGCGGGGAGCAGGCCTAAGCTACAGTTGGACACACTTAGCACTGCTGAGGAGGCAGGAGAGGCTCCCACCACCACCGCTGTACTGGCAGCCATCAGCCTGGCTTGTGGCTGAGCAGAGCTCCCCCAGGTGGGAGTGCACTGACCACCAGAGGGCAGCTCCTGCATTGAGCATCTGCCCCCTGATGGTCAGTGTGTGTCATGGTGACCAGTAACTCCCAGTCTTTCTGCTGTTAGGGTCAGTTTGCATATTACCCTTTTACTATATAGGATAGAGGCCTGGTGCATGGGTGGGGGCCGGCTGGTTTGCCTTGAAGGGTGTCCCGGATCAGGCTGGGGGTACCGCTTGGGTGCCTGGCCAGCCTGGGTGAGGGGCTGCTGGCTATCTTCAGGCTGGCCACACCCCCTTTAGGCTGGGGGACCCCCACTGGGGTGCCTGGCCAGTCTGGGTGAGGGGCTGAGGGCCGTTTTCAGGCTGGCCGGTGACTGAGGCTCCCAGCCTCTCCTTTTTTTCTTTTTATTCTGGGATTTATTTACCTTCTATAATTGAAACATTGTTGCTGTCACTGGAGTTGAGAGCCGGCTCCAGCTCTGAGGCAGCGGCCTGCTGAATGCAGGTATCTGGGGTTTGTTTAGCTTCTATAATTGAAACTCTGTTGCTTTTGGAGCTCAGAGCTGGGCCGTGGCAGGCGGGGAACCTTGGCTTCCTCCATCACTGGAGCAAGCAAGCCTCCTGCTCGCTTCAGCTGTGTGGCTGCTGGCCGCCATCTTGGTTGGCAGTTAATTTGCATATCGCCCTGATTAGCCAATGGGAAGCATAGCGGAGGTATGGTTAATTACCCTTTTTGTTATTTATTAGATAGAATTGTTTTAATCCTAGCCAGTATTAATACTTGTTTTTAAAGCTTTAGGATGAAGACAAACTATCTGGCAAGCACCTATTTGCTACCTGCCCATTGTAGGTGCTTGTCTATATTTAAATTTTTTTCTATTATATGTATTTCAATTATATCTATTTCAATTATATCTATTACAAGCCAGATTACAATGAATACCCATCATGTCCAGTAGGACTTGGTTGAGACAATCTTCTGAAACTCCATTTGGCAAGAGAAACCAAGAGATCACTAAAACAGGATATCACTATGAGTTGACAAGATTAAGCTATCAACAAGATAAATGAAATTTTCAAAGAAAAAAATGAGGCAAGGCAGTGGGAAGAGGACTCATCCTTAAAGATATAGCTAAAAATGGGAAAGAGTACTTGTTAAAATTGCTGTAAGGACAACAGGATGAAAAACAATGAGAAACTGAATTTTCAAAGCACTATGGGTGAACTTACGCCACACAGACTAGTCAATATTTGAAGTGGCCAAATTTGAATGATTCAGAGAAAGGTTCAGGTTCAAGGAGAGTAAGTGAAATTGGCAAAATATAAAGCAAAGTTACAAAAGTGCACCAATAATATAGTATGCCACATATTTGACTTAATTACTCAGAAGTGGGTCATTTAGTTTAGTAATAATACTAATAACAGGTGCTGGTTTTATTTTGAGAAACAAAGACACTGGGTCCATATTTTGATCTCAGTTCTTTATTCCTTCTGTGTCTTTTGTTCCTCTTCCCTCCTATCACATGGACGTGGTACAGAGAATGCCAGGTTTAGGTCAATGGGCAGGATGAGAAGTTATAGCAGTCATTGTAGCATCCACTTAGGTGAGTTAAATAGAATCAACCAAGCACACCTGGTGCTTGTTAACATGGAAACACAGTATTTTATATTTTCCAGTGGCAAGGTCATCTCGAATCCTGGAAACATGTTCCCAATAAGCCAGGCAGCCGAGAAGAGAAAATTGTTTTTTGGGGGGTCTTTTTTGAGTAAAATAATATTCAGAATAAGTTTTGTTTTAGTGTTCTAAAATTAAAAAAGATGTAGATACATCATATCAAATTTGTGCTGCCACTAAAATTCACCCACTGGTACTAAAAAGTAACATGCATGAGGTGATTTACACTTTATAAAGATTCTCTTTTTTTGTCTCTGACAACTCCAGAAGGAGATATTTTTCCTTTTTTCTTTTAATGGGTTTACTTTATATATTTATTTTTCTATTGGGTAGCTTTTTCTGAAATGCCTATTCTAGTCATTTGCCCATTTTTCTTTCTTTCTTTCTTTTTTTTTTTTACATTTTTAAATTGAATTTATTGGGGTGACGTTTAATAAAACCATACAGGTTTCAAGTACACAACACTATAACACATCATGTGCATACTGCATCGAGTATTCACCACCCAAAGTCAAGTCTCTTTCAGCCACCATTTATCCCCCCTTTGCCCTCTTCCGTTTCTCTCAGCCCCTTTCCCACTGGTAATCATCATACGGAGATATTTTTCAGATTAACTGAAAAAGAAAGTAACTTCCCTTTTCTAGGCAGCTTCACAAACATTCATTCAGGATGGATACTATCATGTTGTATATTTTAAAAAATTAACTTAAAAATATTTGCCCAGTCATAGTATGTACATGTAACTTGACTAATTCAAGTGGAAGCTGCAATAAACAAAACTCAATACCTAAAGTATTTGGTCATATGCCTGTGATTGAGTCAGATGTGAATCTTTATAAAATTACCCTGTGGCCCTTTATAGCTGGTAAAATCACTTAGCAACCAACTTCCTCCCCCCTCCTCCCTCTTGGGACATAATTAAACCTTGCCCTGGTTCACAAAGATTTGTTTTTAAAATTTAAAATCTTGTTTAGGTGTTAAACACAATCCATCATTCAATATACAGGTGGTGAAAATGAATAGAAAAAAAAAAAGGTTTGGCCAAAATGTGAAAAGGAATTGTTATGTCTTACCGGACTTTTCCTCTAAAAGCGTAAGCATGGGAAGGAAAAAAAAGGAGAACATAAAAGAGGTGAAATGCATTTTCAAGAAGCAGCAGCTTAAGGCTCAGAATAACCATGCTTAAAGCAGCTCTCCAAGGTATTGCTCTAATAAATGCTTCCTGTGAGTGTCTGATACGGTCATTCCTGGACTGCTGGCTTCAATTGCAGGGCAGCAGCAGAGACCACCCCAAAATATGCCATTTTGGCATATTGATTATTTTGAGCTGTAGGCACTTGAAAACAACAAATGCCTAAAGACAAATCCTCTAAAAGAAACTCAATTGTCATTAATCCTCCTCCTTCTTCTGGGAATTTCATCAACCAGGGAGCACTGAATCATCACAAGAGAGGAGACCAGAAGGCAACACCATACACAGACAAACTGTCACAAACCATCATGCCTCCCATCTATTCTTCTAAGGGTCCATTCATCTTTCCTAAAAATTATTTACTCTCCCCTAAGAGGGCTATTTCCCCTCTCCTTTCCCTATAAATATGATATTTAATTCTAAATGTCATTTCTTTGAGTTGCTCATTTTTCCTGGGTGTCTTTCACACATACATGGAGTCTGAATATTAATAAATTTCTGTGTGGGTTTTCTCTTGTTAATTTTTCTTTTTGTTAGAGGTCCAGCTGAACACCTAAGATGGGTAGAGGTAAAGTGTTGTCTCCCCTATAAGTTCAGGCTATAGAGGGCATAGATATGGACTTCATTGAGGACATTCTAAGCTCTCTTTTGAATGGTTTATTTTTACCAAATAAATTTGTTCCTTGAAAATAGAAAAGTATGCTTTGTAATACTAAAAGGAGTTGAAAAATGTCATTAATGCTTTAAAGCCAGGCATGATTATGAGCACGAGATTTTCCAGAAAGTCCAGTCTTGTCAGGGAACCCAGACCTGTCATTTCCCAAGATACCTTAGCTCCGTGGTCGGCAAACTGCGGCTCTTTGGCCCCTTGAGTGTGGCTCTTCCTAAGCTTTAGGAGTACGCTAATTAAGTTAATAACAATGTACCTACCTATATAGTTTAAGTTTAAAAAATTTGGCCCTCAAAAGAAATTTCAATTGTTGCACTGTTGATATTTGGCTCTCTTGACTAATGAGTTTGCCGACCACTGCCCCAGCTACAACCATCATTCTTTCATTCCATCTTTCAGTTTTCCTCACTCCCCATGGGCAATTACAAATTAGTTTCCTGGCGAGTGGTCTCTGGCTCCTTGGAATGTTCTTTCATTTCCTCATCAGCTGTCCAGAGCGAGGCCTTCATTTCTTGAAGTACTCCATGAACTTTCTATTATGTGGTTCCTAGCCTATGGACCCTATGTCCCGTTTCATCTCTTAAATCCATCCTTTTACACTATCCTCAGAATTACTTCCAAAATTAGTGAGGTGAGCATATTACTCCATTCTTCATAAACCTCCCTATTATTCAGAAAATAGAATGTCCCTTCTGTCATTTAATGCCTTCACGATGGGCTCCAGCTCACCTTCACGACCTGGTCTTCTACTGTGCTCTGTAGGAAACGACACTTAGCTGCAGACTCTGCTGAATCTCCTCACGGTGCAGTAGACACACACTCTGCTCTGCCTCTGCTCAGGCTGCTGCTTCAGCTTTCCATGCGGTCTCTGTCTCCCTTAGTTACAAACTTACTCATCTTTCAAAGCAGTAACACTTCTTCCCTAAGGCCTTCCAGAAGTCTCCAGGTCAGAATAAATTGTTTCCATCTCTTATTAGAGAACACATTCCTTTTGTTCAAAATAATAAGCCCATATTGAAGGCCTTTTTATTTGCCTGGCATTTAATTGCCTCAAGGAAAACAAAGGTACATGTTGCAAGTATATATTTTGCAGTTTATATTTTGTTCTGAATTATTTAGGTATTTCCATTCAATAATTAGTTCACAGTAATTGTTACGAATGGACTCTCTCTAGCCCCAAGCATTGTGCTAGACACATATTCAAATTAGCTTAGCCCCCCATTCTTTAAATGCCTTGAGAAAGTTATATTATGCCTCAATTTCATAATTTGTAAAGCAATGATGACCGCTACTTTGTTGAATTGTGAGGATTAAAAGAGAGGGTGATATTGACAACTAACATTTATGGAGGCCTTATTATTATTGTTTTACTATTATAGGTGGTTGGTGTCATTACTATCACTAACTTACCAATGAGGAAAAGGAGGCAATGATAGGATCCTAAATCACATGGTTACAATGGAGTGCAGCCTGGGGCTCAATCCCAGGTTGTCTAACTCCAGAGAGCCTGGTCAAGGGTGGGCTCTTGGCACAACTCAAGTTCCCTAAACAGATTAAACTCACTTTCAGGGCCTTTTCAGCATTGGGATCTAGAAACAACAGAGCTAAAAACTCACAGATCAGAGAGTTTGTAAAATAATCTTGGATCTTTCCAATGGAAAGAGTGAGGTAATGCCTGTCTATCATAGCAGGTCTCAAAGAATGAGCTTTTCAGAGAGTGAGTTTGTGTTTCTAGGCCTGCTTTCAGATCTTCAAATTAAACTCTGATTTTAAGGTAAATTTCTCAGCCTTTTTCTAGAATTAAATGTATTTTCTTTAATTAGAATCAGAGCAATAAGCATGAATACACAAATGATATAGCACTTGTCTTTCCTCCTCACACCTTTCCATTCTAGGCTACATGATGATTAAACCATCTTTATTTAAAATGTTGTTTTGCTTTAATTGTTAACAGATACCAATCTTGGCTTAAGGGTTTCATCAGAATGTTAAACAAACAAACAAAAAGACATGGCAAGAGAATTTTCCTTTTTAAAATGAGCTAATTGCACCAGAATTGATTTTTAATTATGGAAAAGATAATAAAAGCACTGGAAAAAGATGTATACTCTCACATGCACTAGTACTTAGAAATAGAGTAAGTGAATTTTTGGATTGGACAAACATATACCTAAAATATAACCATTCAATCTTCTCTAAGTGAAGGGATTTCCCCATCCCATGGCCTGAGAAAATATAATTCTCTAATTGGCAAACCTTGTTGAAAGGTAGCTCATCCTTATGATCAACAGCTTTCCAAGGAGCCCATAGACCCCTGCTCTCTGCAGTTGGAGAATCTCTGGCTGCAATTACCCCAAATCCTTTTCGAATGCAACTAGTCATTCCAGTTAGGTTTTGTTGAAAGCTACATTTCTGTATGAGGGGCTAGAAATCAGCAACATTTAAAACTGAATTCTGTTTATTCATTTATTAAACCATTAGCAAGATATTTATTGAATATCTAATAAAGACCAGAAACTATTCTAGGCATGTTAGTGAACAAAACAATAGGAACAATAGATAAAAACAACAACAACAACAACAACCCTCCAAGGAGCTTATTTTGGTAGTAGGAAAAGGAGACAGATAATAAATACAATAAATATGCAAAGTATTTAGTATTTGAGATAATGAATGCAATTTTTAAAAGCAGAGCAAGTAAAGAGGTTTGGGTATGCCAAGACAGAGAGTTTTGTGATTTTAAATACAGTGGGGCCTTGACTTACAAGTGTCCTGACTAACGAGTTTTTTGAGATACCAGCTGTCTCTCGGCCGATTTTTTGCATTGAGTTGACAGAGTAATTTGAGTTAATGAGCTCCTTAACAAGCTCGGTCTCGGAACGAATTAAACTTGTAAGTCAAGGCCCCACTGTACAGTGATCAGAGTAGGCCTAATTGAGAAAATGATTAGAGCAAACACCCGAAGCTGAGAGGGAAGCCACAGTGCAGCTACCTGGGGGAAGAGGGCACAGACAGGGAGCCCGGGAGGAGTAGAAGGAGAAGGAAGAGTGGCAGGTATTAGTCTTGGGGTCGGGGTCTCCCCTCCATGAGGGTCTTGGAGACCCCTGCAAAGACTTTGGCTCCACTCTGTTCCAATGCAGCTAATGGCTGTTATTTATCAGTTCTCAACTGTGGATGCTCAGTACTGAGAAGAGGCATCGATGAAACAGATAGAACAGTTATCAGACAATGCGTGGATATGACATATGCTGTCATTTGTCATTACTCTTTGGCAGCATATCTTGAATCCCTATGTACCATGTCAACAAAATAAAATAAAGACAGGCTTCAAATAAGTTAGGAGGTGGAAAGGAAATTTCAATTCGGCAAAACAGAATGAGACCAGCTCATCTTGCCTTCCCTGTCTGTTGGCCACTTTAGGACAAGAGGCTCAGACTGGCATGCTCAGCTCTGTACCACTGCTGCGCTGGTAGCTGATACAAAACAATAGTTCCTGAGGTCCATGCAATGAGTGGCTGGCCCTTAGGCAGATATAAGAGACAAAAAGAAATCTTACTTCATTCTGTTTAAAAATAAAATTTCCCCCAGTCACCGAAGAAACATTTTTCTGACATAATTAATGTGAGTGATTCACATGCTAAAATTTTTTTCTAAAACAATTAAAAAGTACATTCATTGCTGTAGATACTTTTTGGCACTAAAAAATTCTTCAAAGAACAAAGAGATAGATATTTTTTTTATACTGGTACAGTTATTTTTATACTACAATTCATACAATTAAATACTACAATTCATTATAGAAACTACTTAATATAAAAATAAATATAATCGTATAAGAAAGAGAATAAAGTACTTGTCCTTCATCCTCAGAGTCAAGTGACTGAAATCTGAAACTTTAGATGAAAAAAACAGACTTCTCACTGGGAAGAGAATTATGACAGAAAGCTAGCACCCACAGAAAAGAACACATTAATAAATTTTAAAAAAATACTCTGTAAAGTGTAAGAGAAGAAATGGAGCCATTGTTCACATTTTTATCCATCCAAAAATGGAGAAAAACTTGACGGAATTAAAGGGGAAAAGATCAAAGAAATGCAGAGCCATACCTTTGCTCTCTCTATAAAATAATGCGAGGGATATAAGTTGCATTATATCACAGTGAAACACCAAATTCCATATAATTCCTCACAGCAAAGAACATCCATTCATCCAACCAACCAACA